TTATAGAAATGACTAGCCTATCAACAATTTTACCTGGTTGGTTCTTCACAACAGCCAATTAGAAAATAAAAACAGATCTGGCAATTAAGAAACTCAACTGACTCTTCTGCAGAACAGCCAATCAGAAAGTAATGGCTGTTGAGGCTCCAAACATATGTAGTGATGAATTTATTTAACATTATTTCAATGTGGATTAAAAGGCAGTATATATTTATTCTGATCTGTATTCATTTCCAGCCTTCCCTTTTAGTTCTTCAAAATGTACCTGAGCCTTTCCACCCTGCTTTCCTTGGTTAAAAGTGCTGAGAATTTTTAAATGCTAACACTTTTTGGTTATTTCCTGCAGATTCTCCATTCCATGGCAGTTAAGTGTCTTTCTCCGTTATGAGATTTTTCACCGAATATGGATTCATTTTCAGAAAACATAATACAATTGTCCATTTGTTAGGAAAACAGCAACCATTTTCAAGAAGTGCAACCTTACATTACAGAAGTGATTTCAAATGTGGCTCTAGCAAATTTTACTTCAATCACTTCAGCAAATTCTTTTTCAGAATAATTGTTTACACATTTGTGCCTGTTTGGCTATTTCTCTTATTTCTTCACCATCACTCATCAGAAATCGTAACTGAACTGTACCTGTTCAGCGCATGGCTGCGATCAATTTGCACTTTTCTACCGACTTTTGTTTAGACCATTGTTCGCCAGGATAGCCTTTCCTCAGATTTTACCAAGCGTCATAAACTTTAAGCAATTGTTTTTAAAATGCATCTAACTTTTATAGCATGTTCTAAATGGCTGTCCAGCTTTCATGTTTTAAAACTATTAGAACAAAAACTATGTAAACTTGGAGACTTAAACATTCAAAATATAAAAACTTTTCGAACAAGACTGTCCCATTCTTGATTTCAAGCAGCAAAATACCACAAAACAGAAACTGGAAAGCTACAATATGACTACACAGTTTGCTCATTAAAGCCAAGTTGAAATATCTCAGGTCTCTGATTGGTTATTGTCCAAGAAATGTAGTAAAAGGGTGGAATGTCAGATGCAAAATTATTCCTTTTACGTGTGAAGATATAAAAATCCACGTAATGTTTCTGGCAATGACAAGAAGTAATGCACAACAAGAATGTGTATGAAGTGAAAGATAAAATTCACAGCAGTGTACAAAACGGAATATCACAATGATTATCATATACTGGTTTAGGATTACTACCACGTAAACCTGCGGTGGCAGACATAATTTAAATACGGATTTCTGTGAAAGAATCCATTATTCTTGTTTATGTCCCACAGTGATAATAGCTCAGAAATTTTGGTTTCAACCAAAATTATGGGATGCACAGGTGAGAATAAAAGCTCATAACAGGACCTCAGCCGACAGTGTGTGAGGCTTCCTGGGCAGATACTGACATGTGGAACATCCAGGGTAGACGTTTGTGGGACACACTGGGCAGGCTGTGGGACACATCTATGGCATACATTTGTCTGTAGGACATTCTGGGCAGACATTAGTCTGTGGGATATCAGGGGCAGGCATCTGTCTGTGGGATATCCTTGTCCAAACTAAGTTTAAGTAGATAAGAATCTCTCCAATGTATTCATTAACTGCCTGCACATCCCTAAAAGCCACTCTAATCCATCCATAAAAATATCTAGAACTTACTTATTTTATAGGCCTAGGCTGACCATATTTTTTAGCTTCTGTGTATTATTCAGGAGTTATAGCTTTAACTGGTGTAGTTTGCTACAGTTCAGGTCTGCCTTTTGCTTTCCCCTTCTTTAGTTTTTTTTAAAGGCTTTTGGGCATTACCCATTGTTATTATAACCTTTCATGTCTCTCTCTCTCCAAAGAAATATAAGTTCAATTTTTTTTTTAAACCTGTATACAACAATTTTAGTTAAAATAACATAAAACTGTATGCACATATATAAGAAACAATATGTGATCAGATAAACCTGATATAGAAACAAAGAGCTGGCGAAGGAATTATACAAATCTGTGATTTAAAAAAATAACACTAAAAATTAAAACTGCTACAGTAATAGCTACAAATATTGTACATTAAAGTGTTGACAAGGATGTTGATAAGAAGCTACATGTGGTCGGCTGAATGATAGATGAACTGACCACTTATACCAAGTCACACTGAACATCTGGTCAAGGATGGTGTAATGGACAGGGGCGAAAAGATGATGAAGGAGGGGGTATGTTCTCACAAATAGGGACAGGGAGAAGGGAGGAGAGAAAGAGAGAGTGTGTGCCTTGTCATCCTAAACGAATACAGAAAAACTATTTTCACCACTGCAAGATTTAGTTTGCTCTCATGATCAGCTATAAAAAAGAGTATTTATACCACCAGCATTCTGTTCATTGCTTCTGGCTATATTCTGATTCGTTAGATTTCCTTTTCAAGCTATGCTTCAGTGTTACACAATTTACTGATAATAAGAACATGGCTACAGTATATGGTTTGCAAGATATGGTCATGCCTGGTAATGCAGCTAGCTCTCTTTGCAGGGTGAAAAGCAAAAACTAGTAACTGCTGCTGTCCTGCGACCATAAAAGCCAGCCCCAATTTCAGATGGTACAGACTAGTATTTGTATCAATGAGGATATAGACTAACATAAAAATGGCCACCTGGAGCGGATGAGTTCCCCCAGGGCTGATCTAAGGCCAAAGACACACCATGCTGAATGACAGATCACATGAGAAGAGGAGAATAGGCAGACCAAGAAAGACCTTGATATATAATTTGGCTTAACTGACATGCTTCAAACTCGCCAGCATCAAGTCCACAGTATCTGACCGACAGAGATGGAAATCACTGATCAGTCAACATCACATGGTTTTATGGGACTATGATGATGATGATATGGTTTTTGTATTGATCTTATGATGAATACATTGTTTAGCAGATGAGAAGTTGCTGTTAGTTTGATTTCCGGTGAGTATTTGTCTGAGTAAAATATCACAGTGGATGGAAAGTACAGAAGTGGTGGGCATGACACTGGGTAAAAGCTGCAGGGTCAGCCAGCATGAAGATGGGTACAGGATATAAGAGACACTTCTGACACAAAAGTGCATGAGGAGGGAAAGCTGGTGAGGGACAGAGTTTATTCAAGACAGGCTATTAATTTATTCAAGACAGGCTATGATGTGAGTGACGTCCTGTAAAGGACTTGCTACAATAATGACTTTTGTACATTAAGTATCTCGTGCCCATGTTGGTCAGAATTTGCCTGGTTTCTTCTCTTTTAGGTGCCTGCATTAGATTATTCATACATATGTGTGCCCACAATAGTTAATCCTTTTACACATAGGTCATCCGTGGACACGTGTGTCATCTTGTAGCACACTTCACTAGCTTTTACTTGATGCATGCCCATTCTTAACTGCCTGACCTCTCATGTGTCCCTTCCAAATACAACTGCTGTGTGTAAGACAAGTGTTTGAAAGGGTTGAATGTAAAATATGTCTGCATGACCAATTTGTGACCCTTTAAAAATAAACTTTGTTCATTTATTTGTCATCTGTACATGTACATACCTACTCAATCTCCACTATGTACATATATTTGACTACACTAGCCTACACATTTGTTAGTTCGTTCGTCAACAGATTATTCTCACTGCACTTCAAACTTGTCTTCTATAAGTGCTCGGATCCCCTCAGTAAATCCCGTAGCATGTGCCAGCTGATGACACCAGTCCTGTGTTGGTTTCTTATTCTTCTTTGGTTTCCTGCATGGTGTTCTTGCTGCTAGATACACTGATATAGGGGTATAGCTATATGAGCTTTAACAGATACAAGATGTGTCTCAATAAGCTCTAAAGCATACATGTGCATGTCGATATTATCCATTTATATTGTCTATATCACCGCTAATTCATGCTTCTGTATCTATACCAGTTATAATCCACATTCCTGTATCTATATCAGTTATGATAAATACATCTGTGTCTATACCAGTTTTAATCCATGCTTCTGTGTATGTACCGGTTATAATCCGCACTCCTGTTTCTATACCAGTTATGATCAATACTCCTGTGTCTATACCAGTTATAACCCATGCTCGTGTGTGTATACCAGTTATAATCCCTATTCTTGTGTCTATACCAGTTATAATCCATATTTCTGTGCCTATACCGGTTATAATCCTTATTCTTGCGTCTATACCAGTTATAATCCATACTCCTGTGTTATACCAGTTAAAATCCATACACCTGTGTCTATATCCATTATAATCCATAGATTTATGTCTATGTCAGTAAAAACAAACTTACACACGTGGGTCTAGTTATAATACACACAGACATATCATACCAGATCTATCCTGGGTGCACGTGTGACAGCACACAAATAGGTTTATACTAACTCATAAACATGTCTACACAATACAGTTCCACACTAAAACAAAAACCAGAACCACTCAGAGACAAAAGCAGATGTGAGTGCAACAGTGGGCATCAAACAAAAACACAACATATATGTATGTATATAACTATAAACTAGATGATACAGCCATGACAGCTTGTCTATCTTGCTGACACACAAAGGAGTGGATAAGAAATTATCAATCAGTTGTAAAATGGATGCACAATAATACATGATGTTTAAAATCGAACAAAACACTACAAAGGAAACATCCATAGAAACAGTTTATCTGACCACAATTCAACAACCCAGTAAGAAAATCACTGTTAGAAGTGGGTGTGTAACAATGGCTGCTTAAACATACAAAAATTACATAAGATTAAGAATTTTCTTTTGTTTTGTTTGTAAAAGGTATGCCATTGGTTAGACATGGTTTTAAAAAAAAACATTGCAGCCCTAACAGCCTCTACAAAATCTGGGTGACTGTTGTCTGGTCATTCGGTGGGGCAGTGACAGTGGTAATATCATCTCGCTGATGTTGTTGCGTGACCGGTGACATTTGGCTTGTTTGTTTCCAAAGATGACTTTTTAGCTGACTGCCAGGGCTGATGTTGCCAGTTAGGCTTTGGGATTGTGCTGTACCTAAAAAAATTAAAAAATAAAAATGTAAAAAAAATGAATACTGTGTGTATCACAGAACAAAGCAAATGTAGTTAATTTAATTACACATATTATCCATCATCATCATCCCCACTATCCTGCTGTGCTGTAATACATTACATAGGACTCGCAGTGTAGTCCCCTATTTTTTTTTTTTCCTGTGCAGTCCTCTCAATATCATGGATGGAATCCAGTCCAGTACCCTTGGCCTCTCTGTGTGTCAAGGTTTCTCTTATGTTTCCTCAGACCATTTGTTTCCCATTTCAATACCTGTTTGATGATTCTCTGTCTATTTCTCCTCATGATGTGCCCAATAAATTCCCACAATCTTTGTCAAATAACTGTTGATACCAGGGGTTGTCCAGACATTTATTTCTCTGAATTGTTTGTCTTGAATCCATCCCATTTAATGTTAAACTATTTCCTCCAGCACTTTCCCTTGAATGCATTTAACGTTCCATCACTTACAGAGAAAGTTTTGGGAAGCCATAACATCCAAAGTATATGAAAAAAGAGAGTGATACGAAGCCTAAGGAACACCATGATTAAGAAGGAAATGTAGCATTTAAAGAAAAATTATATATATATATGTGTATATATATATATGTGTGTGCTTGCATGCATGTGTGTGCGCTTACGTGTGTCTGTGTATGTGTGTGTAATATGGGTCAGAGGAAATCTTCTTGAAAGTAAAGCTAACTGGTCTCAAAACAAATGTGGGGCGCTAGCACAAAGATTACAACCTTTTAGTTTTCTATAAAAAGAAACTAAAAACAGTTTTTCCTGCATGAATGTACAACCTATTAGGGATGTGTAGGGGGGGGGGGGGGGGGGGGGGAGGATTGTTGAGTCGCTAGAGGATTTAGGGACACACTAGAGGATTTAGGGACACATGGTTAGTGCAATCAACACAGACTGCACAGCTGCTCCAGTGTTTTGATGACGGTTCTTCATGCAACTGAATAAAACATGGAGTTTATGAGACACTCAAGCATGCAATCTTTCTTTCTTTCCTCTACTTCTGCATTAAAACATTAAAAGAGCAGCTGGCATGGTATGTTGTGGTTTACAGCTTGGCTGCTATAGCTGTGCCCTTTGCCAACAAATTCACTTTCAGTAAATTCCTAATTAGATGCCTTTTATGACATGCTTTTTAGGGCCAATAGGTCTATCTGTTTTTATTTCCCCAATATGGAGCCCAAGAACCCACAAAGGGGAAGTGAAAGAGTAAACAGATCACCACTGTCTGGGAAGAATGAAGCAGTAGGAACTGACCACAGAATCTGGCTGACACTCAGAAAGAAAAAACAACAACAACAAGACACATGATCAGACTGCAACTGGCACCACATGTTAGCCCCCCCCCCCCCTCCCCCCCACGCACGCACACACACACACACAAACTGTGCGGGCTACTAAAGATCGGGGTGGATGGAACACAAAACATAGAGATCATCTGACACTAGCTGAAGCACAAAAAACATTCTAACCTCAAAGTACTTGTATGTGGGGTTTTCATAACCATTCATCTGCATGTTTGCCAGGTGTTTTTCTTCTGGGGATGCAGATGGGTTGACCTGAAAAAAAACAAGAAGATTGCTGTCAAAATATACGATGATTTAAAAAAAAAAGTAAATTCTTTCACAATAAACGTTTATTTGTGTGTGTCTGTGTGCGTGTATGCATGCGTGTGTGTTGCACTAAAAAATGTGGTTGATATGTTATGTTGTGGTTAACAACTATGGCTGTGTCGCTTGCACCTTTCAGCCATTTTTATTGCAAGAAACCCTTAAGTCTCCTTTTACAACTTGTTTCTCAAGGATTAGGAAGTATATTTCTCCCAACCCCAAAAATGGGACCACGGAAACCACATAGGGACAGCAAAGGATTTACAGACAAGGTCTAATTCTTCTTCTCTAAACAGTCCAGGGCGGTTTAAACTGGCATCTCATGGGCCGAATCTGACCCACAGAGACTTAGCCAGTAGCCCCCAGATCACTGTCAACTGTACGGTTAAAAAAGAAGCAGCTTTATACATCAGGCAAAAAGAATATGTAGACTAACTGCTGACCTTCCAGAAATTAGTTGTCCACTTAACAGTATTCCAGAACAAACTCCATGGAGAGAGAAATGCAAACTAACAGTGCAAATCCAGACAAATGTGAACGGAATATTTGACAAGAAAGAACAAGATAGTATACAACGCAGAATGGCCACCCTCAGTTATATTGATGAAGAAAACCCACAAGAACAATGGGTCAGAGTCTATACAGATGGGTCCGCAGAAAGTGCAGTTAGAAATGGTGGTGCTGGAGTGTACATAGAATTCCCAGATGGTACTAGGGATAAGTCCAGCGCACCAACCGGAAAGTACTGCCATAACTATGATGCAGAAACTCAGGCTATCAAGATAGCAACAGAGAAACTGCTAAATACCAATCTTGGCTCACAGTATGTGGTAATGCTGACAGATGCAAAATCAGTACTTGAAGCACTCCAGTCTAGGAAACTACCAGAATTGCAAACACTGCTGACACAACTCAGCCTTCAGCGAAGAGTCGTAATGCAGTGGATACCATCACATTGTGGAGTGCCTGGAAATGAGAAAGCTGATCAACTGGCAGGAGAAGGTGCGACATAAGTGCAGCCGGATGTACCAGTCACATACCACCAAAAGAAAAGAATCATTAAATCAATCAGGAAACCACCAGCCCCACCACAAGATGACTATTTTTTTATGGACAGATCAGAACAAGTCATTATCCTCCGCCTCAGAACAGGACACAACCGATTACGTAACCACATGTACACAAAATTCAAGAAAGGCGTATCAGCCATGTGCACCTGTGGAAAGGTGCCCTAGACAGCAGAGCATGTACTCCAGGACTGCACCGAATTTGACACATTAAGGCAAACCTTTTGGCCAGAAAGAACAGTGGAACGTAAACTCTATGGACCACTGAATGAATTAACAACAACAGTGAAATTTATTAAAGAGATAAAATTGCTGATATAGACAACTTATTTCAGGCTAACGAAAGAAGAAGAAGACTGCCAACTGTATTGGATTATGATATATCTACCCGCTGGCTTGGGCGTCTGGCCAGTGACAAATCTAATTTTCAACATTTTGGCCCTTGAGTTAATTTAATTGAAAAGCCTTGTTATAGTTCCTGCTGTGTAGTGATGGTAATCATGTTTGTCTAAGCCAGCGGTTCTCAGTCTACGGGTCATGACCCTTTTGTGGGTCAAATCAGCCTTTCGCAGGGGTCGACAAAGATTATCGGAAAACACATATTCACTTAAATTATGAAGTGGCAAAGAAAATAATTTATGGTTGGGGGTCATCACAACATAAAGAACTGTATTACAGTTACCTCAACATAACCTTGAGACACGGACTGTCTAGGCTTGTTATGTAACATAACATGTAACAAAAACAGGGCACTTGCCTCAACATAACCATGAGACACAGACTGCCTGGACTTGTTATGTAACATAAAACGTAACAACAATAGGGCACTGACCTCAACATAACCCTGAGACTGCCTGGACTTGTTATGTAACACACACGTAACAACAACAGGGCACTTACCTCAACATAACCATGAGACTCGGACTGCCTGGACTTGTTATGTAACATAACACGTAACAACAATAGGGCACTTACCTCAACATAACCGTAAGACAAGAGACTGCCTGTATTTGTTATGGAACATAACACGTAACAACAATAGGGCACTTACCTCAACATAACCGTGAGACACGGACTGCCTGGACTTGTTATGTTTCAGCATCATAATGGCAACAATAATGATGACAAACACGCTGACACTGCCGAGGGCAATCCCGATTGTGCTCCCAACCTGGCTGCTGGAGGCTGCAGATTCGGCAAAACCCTGTGGGAAATAACAGGAAAAACTTAGATCTAGTATAGGAAATTACAGGACAAACTTAGATCTAGTATAGGAAATTACAGGACAAACTTAGATGTAGGATTAACAAAACAAATTTGACTGCAGGTTACAATAATCAGGTCTAATTTTTCTACAGGCAACAGATAAAGATAGTGATGAAGGTGTTTATACATAGTGAGACAGAAAAATGGTATACAAGATCACTTAAAATATTCCTAAAGTTAGGTATGACATCATGATTATCAAAATAATTTTAAAAGTACACTTAAAATTTATTATTAAGCTTAGCATTTTTTTACTTCTATAATATGTTACAATTGAAATATAATCTATGTAATACTAAATAACCAAAAGTAACTGAGAACATAAATCACAAATCTTGAAATAAAAATTTTTTTTTTAAATCTATATATAACCCAATTAGGGCTTCCCATGAGATGGCTGAATCTAAGCTATATATAATGATAGAAGGAGGAGATGAAGGAAGAAAAGGATAAGGAAGGAGGAGGAAAAGAAGCAGAAGAAGAAATTTAACAGTTTAAACTGGGAGGATTGACATAACTGGACTTGATTTTATCCCACATGGCTCAGTATCTCTCTGCAAAGTGGTAGTAGCCTGCCAACATCATCCCATAAATTACGCACCCTGTAGCTCCAGCGACAATCCCAGTGATCCCAACAGAACACTGAACTCACGAACTGATAGTGTCCATGAAACGACCCCTGTCCTTCAGAGTTTTAAGTATGCAGTTTGATTACTCCACCACAGATACCATCAGAAGAGAAAATGGAGGAATAAGAGGAAGAAGAGAATTAAAAAATGTCGGCATGTAAGCTTTCTCATACACAAACATTTTACTGACTTCTCTGCAACAAAATGAAAACTCAGTGTGCGGGTTCCAGGACCACACCATGGGGGAAGGGGGGGGGGGGGGGGCACAGACCCACTGCCTCCCTAGCAAGCTTGGTGTCAGAATCCACTAATAAGGGGTTTAATTTGAAGTGGGAGTGCATGCCACTGAGATGTGAGGAACAATAATCTGCATTCAAATCAGCCAGATCTGTAAAATAAATGCACATGTAAATCTTGAACAAAACCAACGTCCAAAAGTAGAAGAACAAGACCCATATTGCCGGAGATTACAGCTAGTGAATACAACAAAAAGTAGAACTACTGAACATGCTCATGAAACAAACCTATGACCTTCAGAGTGTTAGGAAAGGAAGACAGCTTGATTACTTTGCCAAGGAGATCACCAGAAGAAGAAGAATAAAAGGTAAAAGGAACAGGAGAAAGAGGATTATAAAATTCTGGCACATATGCTTTCTCCTAGACCAGTGGCCAGCAAAGTTGGTCAAAAGAGCCAAAAATCAGCAGCAGGATGGTATAAGAAAATTTTGACAGCCAAATTTCTTTTCAAGAACATGTCAAGAACCATGATTTTTTTTTTTTTTTTTTGGTAGTCAAAACTGATTTTCGGCCAATTGGCCAAGCCGCACTCAGGTCGCTAAACAGATGCATGCAGCTCACGAACTGCAATTTGCTGACCACTGTCCTAGACAAACATTTCAGGGACATTTTTACAATAAGACTAAAATAATCTGCTCACCTGCTGGACGTGATGTGTGTCTTGCAATCTGTGGGCCACAAATGTGTTTTTCCTTTCATAGTCATGTTCGTTCTCATGGACCTCGTCATCCTCACTTCCCTGCTCATGGATGTTCAACTCACCGTTGTTGTCATCTATGCTAATATCATCATTCTCGTTGTTACTATTGCTGTTTTTGTTGTTAGTGTTGCTGATTACATTTTGGCTGTTACTGACTTTGTTGCTGCTGGCTGAAAAAAATAAAATTACAAGTTAGTTTTGGCCTTAGACAACATTTACAGTTGGATTTGACTGTGTGCAGCCAATCAGCACATGGTGTTGTATTCTTAAAGTTTATTCGAAATGTACTAAAGAAATCTGGCTAAATATTTTAAAATGCAACACAGAATGTACCTCTTAGAAAATAACACTTCTTTATGTCACTGCAGTTACTAACCTCCTTTTATCATCTTCTTCTTCAGCATTCCAAGCATGTAAGTTTCATTGCTGCCAATTTCACCTGCCTCCATTCATCTCTGTGATTCGCCTTCTCTTTCCAGTTGGTGACATCAAATGTTTGTAGGTCTGTTTCCATATTATCCCTCCACAATATCCTTTGTCATGTACAGTGAAATTTTATGACATTGACAGGGCTGAACAAACTATTCCTACTTCATATGGCCATTCATAGCCATCTTTTATATAACTATTTCAGTCCTGATTGGATGCTACTGCAACTGGTCATATCATAGAAAGTTTTTACTTTAATAAATATCTGGGTTTGGAGTAGTTGAGAGTGTATAATGCTTAATTAACCGCACCTGTTTGGCTTGTAGCTTCCACTTCTTGCTCAACCTTTGGCTCAGGTAGAACAACATCTCTGATGCTATTTGCAATGGAGTCGAATCTCTTCAAGAATTCCTCTGAAAATTTTTAGAGAATATTTAGAAAAGTTATGTAAAAAGTAATGACTTTTTTAAAGCCAGTAGTGCTTTAGGCATACAGTATGGTATAGTATGGTACTACATCTTAATATACACTAATCTTCAATCCATGGAGGATGCGGTCAACTTTACTTTCCAAGATATCGACTCTTCGCTGACTACTGAGGAAGAAGTTGGAGCATATGTGGGAAATCCTGAGAGCACGGATCTTAATTCTTGATATATTCATTCATTTCAGCTAAGCTGCAATACTGCATCTTTCAACATTTAACATCATTAAACCCTTAATTTGTCACCTCTTAAAACATGAATGTTAGGGAAGTAGGGAGTGTATTTTCCACACACCCCCCCCCCCCCTTACCCCTTTTAAAAAAGGGGGGATGCTTTAAATATAAGGGGGGAAAACGTTATATTAAGCCACTCTATGGTTTAAAAACTACAAAAAATATATAGAAATATCTATGGTTTAAAAAAGGGTTGAAGCTTAAATTAATGTACCACACTGGGTTAACAAAACCATGCAAAACAATTTGTTTTATCACTCACCAACTTCAGGTCTGACCATGGCCTCAATTTCTGGATACCGTTTGAGCATGCCCATGGCTTGGTCGATTCTCTGCTCTGACAGGCGCAGGTGATTGACAATAACAGGGTGAATGCGCACAGCTTCCTGTGGTGCTGAGTACTTTATGTGTTCAAAATGGTTCACGGTGTGCATGCGGTCCTTCTCTTCAGCCTTGATGTAGCCTCGTAGGTACTTGGTGATCTTGATAGCCTAAGGAGAAGAAACTTCAAAGGTAATCTGACAGGTAAAAATTTCTTCTGAGTCTACCTCCCCCACCACACCCCAAATGTATTCAAACTTCAACAGATATCACCTATCATGATCCACTTTATGGTGTTGAGCTCATGCAATTCCCGTTAAGGGATTGCCTTTTTCATGGTCCCAGCTCCAACACAGCCACTTTCTACTAAGTGAAATAACTACAGCAACTGCAGCTCAATTTTCTATAGTTTATTAATCAGTGTGCCTGCATAATTCTGAATATAACTGCTTATGCACTTTCTCCTAGAACTGCAGTGTACCTTCATTCTAAATCCTTCACTAAAGTTCCTACTGACTGACTGTCCGATGTCTTTGTCCAAACTCTCCACACTGACCAGTAGACATCTTGTCACCCCAAGGTCTCTGTGATTCTCTCCTCTCATGATTACTGACCTCTTCACTACAGCTGTCCAGTCCATCACAGCTGACCACTTTTTTGTACTTGAGTCCAGTTAATGGCCAATTCTTTTAACACTTTTGAGTCCCAATGAAGGCATCATACATTCATAGGTTCCTATCTAGAAGTCCAATGAACGCATGATAGGCTATTTTTATGTCTTTCTTTACTACCCTTTGGGCTTGTGATGTTAAACCCTCTGGGACTCAAAGAGTTAAATGCACTAACATCACGACATCCTTTCGTGGCCATAAAGAAAAAAATGCAATGTTCATTATTTTAACCATTCTTCTGTTTTTTTGTGGAAAAAAAAGTTTGTCTAGCTTGTAATCATAGTCTTCTCTGGTTTCATAGACATGTTTGTAACTGCGCAAGCCAGATATCACACCATTTAGCTGTTGTGTACAACATTCATAGGTGTCAACACACATGGCTCTAGTATTACAAACTTTTGAAAATAATCAGTACCAACCACACCCCAAAACGATGAGACTGTCCTGTTAATAATAAACCTACTTAGGATCTTATGACTTCACAGTCTCCAAGCTTCTATCATTCAACCAAACAAACCAAGATTTTAACATTCCCATGATGTTAAACAGTAAACAGCTATGCCATAGTATATCCATTCCCTTTCTCCTTGCATCTGGCTGCAGCTATCTTGTTCTCATTTAATGACTGTTTATGATTTTGCATATTAGGATTCCTTTTTCCCCCATAATTTTCAAACATTTATGGGACACAATAATCCAGACATACACAATCTGTTTTCAGTAAATCAGCAAGCTCAGTGCGGTAGACATCAAGTTTATGGGCTCTATCCCGATCAAATATGAGAAGCTTTCCCGGTGACGGCCATGCTGACAGCTGAATGCATGACTCTGGAGTCTGATTTATCGTCTCAACAAACAGGAACATTTCTTTACAGAAAGGTGTTTACTTGGATCTGGCCCTCATCTCCTCCTCTTCAGCCTTCACATACACTTCTTTCTCCATTCTCATTCTCTTTACTAGGTGTTGTTCTCAGCAAAAAAGATAAAAGACATTAGGATTTCAGTGAACTTTGTCTGCCTAATACATGGGGGGGGGGGGGGGGGGGGAGGGAGAGAGAGAGAGATGAAAGTGAAATTCCTGTAATTACTGTAAACAAATTTTGATTCCCTTCTTTATTTTTAACTCACCGGTACACAAATGTATACTACACTATACTGTTCTGTTTCTACCTCAGTGTCTATGTTTAAATATGCCCTTATGGTTTATAAACTCTATCACCCCCCCCCCCCCATTTTTTGGTGGACTATAAATGTTGTGAGAGTGCACGTTGGGATTTGAACCTGGGTCCCCTGCATAAAAGCACAATGTACTTTACTATTCCCTGTAGTTCAGCCACACATTAGGAGAACAGTCCTGACCCAGAAGGCTAGAAAACAGCTTAGTCATATGCAGCTGATTATTTAAAAAATATATATTTAATGGTATGACAGAATTACCAAGGCGGAGCTCATGGAATTAACTAAATTAATCTCAGTGAACCATACAATGAAAGCAAAATTAAAATTCTGGTCAAAAGCAGACCAGCTAATAAACAAGGAACTGACTCACATCTCCTTTCTCCAAGGCTCTCATGTATTTATCCATTGTTTCCCTCTTCTTCTCATTCAGTGCAGCCTGGACATGTTGTAAGTGCAGACCTATCAGCTGCTCCTTCTCAGCTTCATCTTCTTTCTCGTAGGCAGCATACAGGTTCTGGAATCGCTGTTGACATCATCAAAAAGACACTCTCAAGTAAATTATAAAACCCATATTTAAAAAAAAAATTAAGGGTCCCTTTTCCACGCCTTTGGGCGTATAGGGCATATAGGGCTAGACCTATATTTTATAGACCAATCGGCACAAGATTGGTGATGTGGTAAGCATCATGCCGGTTACCTTTACTTGCAGGGACTGCACCCAGTACCCACTTAAGGCTCGGTCCACCTGGGAGTCAAGGTCATTTTTGGAAAAAGTCCGGCTCCGCCAGGAAAAGAACCCACAACCTTCCAATCAGCACCCTAGCGTCTAGCCGCTACGCCATGGCGACTCCTCAAAATCCATATAAATATAGTTTGAGAGACTAACTAAGTCTTTACATCATCTTCATTGCTTCAGGATCCTCCATTGTGTATTCAACAATCATCATTACCTTCACCTCTGATGCCATCATCTTTATCTGTTGCGCTTTCCACTTGATCACAGAGAGCCCTTGTTATATTTGGAGGTGCTAGGGTAAGTTTCCCCTATTTCACTTTATTCTGTTTGCTTACCTTGTTCATCAGCATGCATTTGTGGCTTAGGAGTTATGAACATGCTTTAAAACTCTGAACTACCCCATTCAAGTCAGCTGCAGGCAATTGGACAGTACACTTTTTCTTTTGTCCTGAGTCTTAAGCTGTAAGAGAGCAATTATATGCAGTTTCCTGTCTTTTGTTAGCGACGTAGCTTATGTTAATGTCACATTGCTTTTACACCGTATCTTCTATTATTCACTCTACCCATCTCTTTCTTGGTCAGCCTCTTGCCTTGTAGATGCAGTTTCCTGTCTTTTGTTAGCGAAGTAGCTTATGTTAATTTCATATTGTTTTTACACAGTATCTTCTTTTATTCACTCTACCCATCTCTTTCTTGGTCAGCCTCTTGCCTTGTAGCCTGCTGTTCTCATGTAGTACACTCTGATTTTGTTCCGTTACGACCAGATGACCAAACCATTTGATTCTTTGATGTTCTATTAAATCATTTATCAGTGCCGTACCTACTATTATTCTTAGTTTGCCAGTGGTGACTATGTCTCTTACTGTTTTTTCCAGCCTCATTTATTATACATCTCATCACACAGGCTTTAATTTTGTGTTTATATTTTTCCAGGACTGTCCATTTAGCTGTCATGTACAACATTCATAGGTGTCAATACACACAGCTACAGTGTTACAAAGACTTCATTTTATGAACACTGGTGTCCAGCTATAGACAGTAAAACCACATAAGGACAACAAATGCTTGGGTTGGATCACTAAGTCCTGCACAAATATGCAGCTAATATTCATATTATCTACATTCAGTCAACAATGCATGACATAACTATCCAACAGTGTAGTCAGTTTCATAAATTAGATAACAATTACCTCAGTAATTTCTTTGGCCATGTTGTCGGCCGTCTTTGGATCAGCTTTCCTCACTTCATTCACATGGTCTCTGGCAGCCTGCCACTCTTGAAGAAGCTGGAAACAACATCACATGAACAAGTTAATTATAGAAGGCAAAGGCTGAAAGCAAAAGTACAAGAGGAAGTAAAGCATAGAAAGTTAGATGATTTATCTTCATGCTTGGGGAAAGGGAGGGGGGAGGCGCGCAGAGCGGAGGGAGGGTTTTGAGAGACAGATAGAAGTAAGGATATTCTGTGTACACTTTTTTAATGTGCTTGGTAATGTTATCTTAATTTTCCTTAGGTTGTCCTTGATCCTGTTGTTCCATCTGTTGCATGTCTTCTCATTGCTCTATTTGCTCATTATATTTTTCCACTTGCCATTTGGTTCCATCTAGTTCTCTTCAGACTGCCAAACCATCTCATGTGTTGCTCTTTAACCCTCTCATGCAGAGAAAGCAGTTTTTTTTTTCCAGTATTTCTAAGTTTTTGATGACATGTCTGTGCACAGTGGCCACTACACCTGACTGTTTCAGCACTCATTGCAACCACACAGTGTTTAGAGAAGGTGAGTTTGATTAAATTTACAACAAAATTTATAAATTATCAGGAATTGGAAGGGGGGGGGGGGGGGGGGGGGGGTCCCCACATTTTTAAATATTCAGACATCATAACTTCATAATAATCTTATTATAAAGTCACTTTTCTATGTGATTAAGTCAACAAAACCATATTTATCATAGTCAAAGGAAAGAAATTCAATTCTTTGCTACGTTTGTATTTACTGATTAAATTACATACTTAATATAATTATTTTGTTCATTTAAGGAAATTTCAAGAAATTAATTATTTTACTGATTTGACGGTTGAATTGTCGGAGTAGCCATCATGATTGCCTATCTATTCAATGTCAAAGGTTTCAACCCTCTGTAATTTTACTTTTTTTTTTATTCTGACGAAGACTAAAATTTTTTCTTCTCCTTCTTCCGATCCTCTAGTTTCACAGGGAAGAGTTTCAAGAAATTATAAGATGTTTTGTTTTAATGAAGTTTTGATAAGGAATAATTTTTTTAACAATTCTTATGAGGATGAAAGTGTTAAGGTATTTAAGACTGGCTTAAGTACTTCCTTCTTGTCTTTTAAATGAAACATGTATATTGTGTATAAGAGAGGTAAGATAATCACAGCCAAGGGATTAATTTCCTCCTCTCTACAGCATAAGCAAGGGTAGTAATGTGCAGACCATGTGCTAACTATGCAGCATGGTCACTTTCTCAGTCTGAACTGTATTCATAAAAAGAAAGGTAACACCAATACATTTGGAAGAATGCATGTTACCAAAGCTGAAGGACCAGAGGACCAGTGCTTTGTCTGTCTGCCTGTCAAAGCTTCCCTTACGGACCAGCTGGCAAAGAAGACAAATAGCAATCTAGTTTCCTTGATTTTAACTAAAATCACTCCCTGTTACTCTGGCAGCTTGGGGAATGTGCTGAAACAACACTTTCACAGACAAGTTGGGCACTTGATGTGCTCAGCGACATACCAGCTGCCTTTACTTCCCAAGACATTTCTTGACCCTTTAATCTGAGCTGACCAAGAAGCCTAAGTCAATTTTAAACATCTACCTTGATTCAGATGCAAATTTAATCTGATGCCGTTTGCAGGCGAGCGTGCCAGCCTCTCGGCTGCCATGGCTTCTCAAACCGATGGTGCTAGCTGCAACTTGATGAAAAAAAAGTCTGGCAGAGCACATATCAAAATAGCCACATACATAGCTCAGTGAAGCTCATAGCTTCAAGGGTGTCGAGACCAGTCAAGAGGACCCACTTCTTCCATAAGATATCATCTACTTAATTCTGGACATGCAACAGTGCTTTCCATGTAGTTTATCACACTCCGAAAAGGCAACTGTTGAGAATGGCCGAAGCTTTAACAAATCAACAACCCCCGTTTTTGTAAGCAGACAGAATTTATAGTACATTTGAAGTTACCCTCCTTAGTCAGGTGATTGCGGTGAGCTACCGCGGCCATAACACACGATGTGTTGAAAGAAACTATTGGCATTTCGGTTGGATTTATTGTTTTGTGTTTCATTTTATGTTGATGTAACTCTGTAGTAAGGCACTTGACGAGATACAGCGAAATATGCCTGGCAATGAATTGAGCAATGTTTTGGTAGTGTCTGCATTATTTAAAAGAGTTTACCCATCTTTTCCCCATGGGACTGGCATCAGGGGATTCAAGACCTCTCCTTCACTAGGAGATGAAAGGCAGAATGAGAAATAGAAAAAGATCAATGATTCTTCCTATTCTTCACCGTCCTGTTGTGCCATTATGTGAAATAGGGCTCACATTCAATTCCTCCATTCCATTCTATCCTGTGCAAATCTGTCAATATCATGGCTGGTATTCAGTCAAGAACCTTTGGCTTCTCTCATCAATATTCGTTTTAGTATTTCTTTTGGATGTCCTCACTTTTATTTCCTACTTATTTCCCCCCGTGTGTGTTCTGAGGCCCAGTTATAGGAAAAACAAGAATAGACCCACTGCCTACACAAAAGCATGTCGTAAGAGTCAACTATTCGGGAGCTTCCTTAGAAGTCGGAGTGCATCTGCCTGAGAGGCAAGGAACCAACAGTCTGCACACAAATGTGTCAGATCTGTCAAACGGATGCACACGCAACATACAGGTTCTGGAACAGGACTGCAGTCCAGAAGTGAACGAACAACCAGAACTTTCCATCAAAGTTTACAGCTGGTGAACACAAAGAAGAAGAAGAAGATTTCCTAATTTAATGCCTGCTTGGTGATTCTCTGCTCCTTTCTTTTCAGGATGTGTCCAATAAACTGTTTTCTTCTTTGTCTTATAACTGCTGTTACCAGCTTATAAGGGGTTATTTTCTCCTTTGTTAGGAAAGTATCCCATTATCATAAACTATTCTGAATACAAATCATTCAGAACAGTTTATTATAATGAGATACTCTCTTACACTAGAGGTTGCCTAGATAAATCTCTTAATTCTTCATCCCTGTTAAATTCATACCAATTTATGTTCAACATTTTTCTCAGGCTTTTGTTTTCAATTTAACTTTCTTGAAATGTTTCTGCAAACAAGAGTATTCTCTTACCTTTGTAATCTTGTGTTGCTGGTTTTTCTTCATCCGTTCTTTGGCAGCCACAAATTTTTTATGTTCATTGTTGTATTTATGAGGGAATTCCTTTTGCCGCAAGTAAGCCTCGTAAAAGTCCATAACATTTGCATCCTCACTGCTGCTTATTTTAGTATTCTTATCAGTCTCTTCCTCATCACTGTCCTCGTCATAATCCTCATCCTCTTCAGAACTGTTCTGCCAGCTGTCAGGCTTGTCATCATTCTGAGGTTGGTGGTAGTTAGTCTCAGCTGAGAAACAGACAAATTAGCAATGAATTTAAGGTGACAGGTGATGAGCTGACACACACAAAAATGGACATAAAAGATAACTTGAAAGCTCAAAAATCAAAAGATGCACAGGAAATCAGGTAACTGCAGTTAAAACATCACAGTAAGCTGCTTTCTTACTGTGCCAGTAAAAAACCACACAAAAAGCACATCACTGTCCTTTGTGGGGGGAAAATGGACACAGAGGGCAGTCTCAGCAAAGCCAGTTACATTCACATGCATTAAATGCATTAGGCAGCGGTCAAAAATGCCAACACAAACAGACAGGCACTAAAAATGCAGTTCATCGTTAATGGAAGTAGAAACTGCAACAAAGCAGCAATTGCACATGCACTTAATCACATAAGACACCATCAGTGCTATGTCAACACACCACTCGCTATTTCCGAATCTGCAGTTGACAACATAAATCAGACTAGGCACAGTTAAAAAGCATGCCTATGAAATCCAGAGCTCAGTGTCGTGCCACACATTGAGCTCAGTAGCTGGTCGATGGAACTGAAGATATATAGAAATAAGCAAACATTTCGATAAAAATCTATAGTGACTAATAACAGCAATAGGTAGCTACTAAATAGCCACAAAGAAAGGTCTTTACTGCCTGCACGTCACTTTTAGGGGGATCCTGAGACTGATAATCTAAGGCCACATAGATAGTGCAGTTGCCATGAACTGTTCAGGTTAGGATTTTATATTTGCCCTCAATTTAAATTCAGCACCTTACCAAGCATTTAAACCAGCCAGTCGATCCTCATAAAAAGTCCCAAAAAAATATATAATTTATGAATTAATCAAATTACATTAAATTTCAAGAGACTGAAAAGTATATTATATTTGCAACTTTTAATTAACTTTTTTTCCTCCAAATATATCCCCCCCCCCCCCCCCCCCCACTGTTGTCTTACTTATTACACATTGGACAGCACTAACATCCATATAGAAGAACAGCTTACAGATAATATTTCAGTAAACAGATAGTGTGTGTCTGTGTGTTTGTGTGGTATGTGTTGTGTGCGTGTGGTGTGTGCGTGTGGTGTGGGTGTGGTGTGTGTGTGTGTGTGTTGGTACATGTCTTGTGGCTATAAATTTACAAGCACACCCCTCAAAAAAGATATGATGTGAGGGTAAAATAATGTCCAAAGAGAGAATATGCACTGACGACACTGAAGACATTCTACATAGATATGGAATAACAGTAGCTGATGTATTTGCTGAAGGGGCAATCTGAGCACCTCTGGACGTGTTCGGAGTGCTGTGAAATAAACCCAACTCATAACTCAATAGTCACTGCCACCCATCAAGTGCTGCACTGCAAACTTTTCCTACCTACAATGCTTCAACAGCTAATGAGGACGACGTGGTTAACTGTGATGACGACGACTACAATCCCCGCTCCACCGAAAGTAGGATGATAATTTTGTAAAGGACCCTTTTCCACGCCTTTAGGCGTACTGGGCATATAGGGCTAGGCCTATATTTTATTGACCAATCGGCACTTGGTGGATGATGTGGTGAGCATAATGCCGGCCGCCTTTGCTTCCTAGGATTGCAACTAGTACCCACTCAAGGCTGGGTCGACATGGAAGCCAAGGTCATTTTGAAAAAAGTCCAGCCCCCGCCAGGACCCGAACCCACGACCTTCCGATGCGCAGGCAGGCGTTTAGCCGCCACACCACGGCGACTTCCAAGATGATGATGGATATGAGAATTAACATGCTGATGATAATAACATGATGACTATAAATACACCCCCCCCCCCTAAAAGGAGGATAAAAACGGGTATAAAAATTATGTTGATAGGTAAGGAAAATTTGGCGATGACGGTGATTATGGACATCAATTAATTTCGTGCGTCAAAACTGCTGTATTTATTCTCAGTACTCCCCCAGACAACCTGGTAATCTGTCTGCCCCAACCTACAAAATCCGCCCTTGCTACCTGGTCAATATCACAGTTAGTTAACAAGACCGGCAAACATTCTTGGCAATCAATGCGCTGACGTGTTTAAACACTGATACACAGCGCACGTCTGCGTCTAACAGTTCTGCGACTAATTAATAATTTCTCTATCTTTTATTCTATAGGAAGACGGTTTTTACAGCTCTCTATTATTTAATAACTAGTTGTTGTAGTCAACGGATAACATCTTGTAACAAAAGCGCTCATCATCATGGTGTAACAGGTCCTTTGCTGAACGTCGCTCTCATCACAGTCTGCCTGTAAGAGACTCGGTCTCTTGCCAGTTCTCCCGCCTCATGAACTTTCACACTCAAGGAGTCACTTATATCCTGTGCCCATCTTCGTGTCGGTCGGCCTCTGCCCCTCCTTCCTGGTACCATGCCTTCTGCTATAATTTTTTTCCAATCAGTCGTGGCGCTTGATATGACCAAAATATTTCAGCTTTCGAGAAAGGATGCTGTTTATTAGCCAATCTTCCTTGATGTTCAGATCTTTTAAGATGTCAATATTTCTCAACTTCTTTGTCCAAGATATTCTGAGAATCTTTCTATAGCATTTCAGCTCAAACGCCCCTATCCCCTTTCTTAAGGACTGAGAGATAGTCCACGACTCACATCCGTATGTAGCCACAGGGAAGATGCATGCAACAAAAGCGCTAGCAAAAAGAAAACACTGTGTGCCTCTGCCTCTTTTAGACATTTTCCAAACATGGTGCCTTGGGGGAGTCTGGGGAGGGAAGTGCATAAGGAAGTACTGTTTAAGCTGTAATGATTATAATAATAACAATAATATGCTGAATCGCAAATAAATAAATATATAAAATAATATGAAATGTATAAATATATTTAGAAAAGAATGTATATACATGGTTGGAAAGAGGGGACGAGGCTACCCGGATGCTCCGCCCTGCCCCTGAGAAAATAAGTGTGGAAGTTGGGGGTGCTCAATAGTCCCGAGCTCTCATGTTATGCGACACCCTCCGTTGGATGAACTGCTTAAAGCAATACAGAAGAGACAACTGCTGTGGGTTGTTGCCACTTTTTTTCCATGCTTTTTTTTTTACCCCTTCAACATCTCAAAGATGAGAATCAAACAGCTACAAGTCCTGGAAAACCTGTACAACAGTATAGCCTGTTATATCAGGGCACCACGCTAACGGTTACGACGTACGCCGTAGTCTATAGTGAGCGGGTTGACAGAGGCGTTACTGTTACTGAGTGCTAAATAAACAGACAGGCAGGGTAATAACAAAAACAACACAATCTATGGTCAGAGTGCCCCACAAGACCAGATCCCATTAACATTAGGGAAAATCATCTACAATAAGTGCAAGGGATTTCAGGGCCACTGTTGACATCGCGTGTTGACGTGCTTTTTACACGCTGATTTTATCCTATCGGCAAATATGTTCTCGTTTATCGGTATTCCTTCACCGACGAGCATACACCCCCCCCCCCTCCTTTTTTTAACCATGGCATTCAGTTAGCGTTAATCCATCTCGATACCATATCATTCATGCCCCGCTGGCAAAGATTTTTATAACGTAGTAGAAGCCGACCCCGATATCGTCTACTGTTGTGGATTAGTTATGTGTTTTTCTTCTTCTTCTTCTTCTTCTTCTTCTTCTTAACGTTCACCGACTGCAAAGCCAGCGAAAGGTTCTGGTTGTTCGTCCACTACTGGACTGCAGTCCTATTTCAGAACCTGAGTGTTGCGTGTGCATCCGTTTGACAGGTCTGACTTATTCGAGTGAAGACTGTTGGTTCCTTGCCTTTCACGCAGATGCACTCCGACTTCGAAAGAAGCTCCCGATTAGTCGACATTTACGACATGCTTTTGGGTAGGCAGTGGGTCTATTCTTGTTTTCCCTATAATGGGGCCCCGGAACCCACACGGGGAATACAGTGTATCTAAATGGCTGATAGTGAAATAACGCGTGTTTTTTTTTTTTTAACTGTTGCGATAATAACAATAGTAATTGTGGTGTTGAATCGACTGCGTCTATAAAGATAGTAAAGATTTAAGTCTCCGTGCCAAATGTAGAGGATTTATATAACCAAACTGGACAGGAAATCACCATGGGTAAGCCAGTTTAATTAAGTTTAGACCAGCGGTTCTAAATATTTATATTATCAGACCATTTTCAGAAGGTTGGTTGCAAATTCGTTACAGCAGTGTTCTTCAAACCATGTATCGCGCCCTACCAGTGGAACGGGATAAAGTCCACGAGGGTCTCGACCAAATGAACGAGAGTTGCGGCAGCTCGGCCTCTCAGGAAAAATGCCTGGCCAAAATATTGACTAAATAATAGGACAGAACAGATTCAGGACCACGTCAAAGGGCACAGGGGCAAAACATTAATTAAGGAGACTCAACCGGACAGAAGATAACCCACGAGGAAAATCCACCAGGAAGCTAAAGATAACGATAAAACAATAGGACACAAGACCAGGACGAGTGAACAATCTATCCTGTTAGGGGCACAAAGACTGCAACCTATCACACACACCACAGTATAAACCAAACACTTGCCACAAATAAACCAGACCATAAATATAACGTGAGTTGAACGTGGTCGAAGCTTTATATATATATATATTTTTTTTTTTTTCTGTCTAGAATAGGCCGCATGAACCGGACGATGACAGAATACTGACCTGATCAGTGACTCACATGACTATGTGAGATGGCGAACCAAGACCGCCCACCGTTATTGGTATGGTTAATTTCCCGTGTGGTGGCAGGGGTGAACCACTGCTCATTAACAAGAATATCGCAAATGACTAATAAAGTATTTGCTGAAATCGGATGTGTTGAGCTTAAAGGCGTAAATATCACAGCCAAGCCGTAAACCACAATATAGCCTGCCGCTCTATTAAGGGCGAAAGCAGAAGAAGAAGGTATGATGATTTTTTTGTGAAAATGTGAGGATGATGATGTGGTTAGCTTCACGTGGCCATTTTAACTTGATACTAGTTTTAAGAAGTTAGGTTGGCCCCGAG